GAACTTGGTCCTCTGAAAGAGCAGGAAGTACTCTTAACCACTGACCCGTGCTTTCTGTCCCCTCTCTTAACCACTGACCTTTCTTGACCTGTCCCCTTTCTTGAATCTTGAACTCAGCCCTGTTCTGATTCTTCTCCTACCATTTTGTTATTGCCCTGCTTTTTCCAGCACTGGTGTGTGTGTGTGTGTGTGTGAGAGAGAGAATATATATGTGAGTGTGTATATGTGTGTGAGTATGTATGTGTATGTGTGCATGTCAGTAAATCTGTGTATGTGTGTATGTATATGTATATGTGTATGTATATATGTGTATGTGTGNTGTGTATGTATATGTGCATGTATATATGTGTATGTGTGTATGTATATATGTGTATATGTGTATGTATATGTGTGTATATGTGTATGTATATGTGTGTATGTGTGTATGCATATGTGTATATGTGTATGTATATGTGTGTATGTGTGTATGTATATGTGTATATGTGTATGTATATGTGTGTATGTATATGTATGTATATGTGTGTATGTATATGTACATATGTGTATGTGTGTATGTATATGTGTGTATATGTGTATGTATATGTGTGTATATGTGTATGTATATGTGTGTATATGTGTATGTATATGTGTGTATATGTGTATGTATATGTGTGTATGTATGTATATGTGTAGTTGTGGGGATTAATTTTGCCTAGCAAGTCATCTTTAATTATGTTTTTTTTCTTAGTTTTTTACTTTTGTTATCCTTGGAATTTCTTTAAGGCCAAGCTCTTTTTGGGCAGCAGGTCTTAGCAGGTCCCACAGAAACTCAGGGTCCCAGGGCTCTGTGCTTCAACCACCGTCTCTGCTCTTGTCTCCTGGTCCAGCAGCTGGGCTGTGAGAGTACATTGCTTCTGGAACAACACCTCGTAGACTTAGCATGGCTCTAGTGTGTTTGCTTTCTGTCCCCAGGAAGTTACTTGAGACTATGGGGATCAGTGTTGGTGGAGAGAGGTTAATATGAAGAAAAGGAAGGCCCCAGTTATGGGGGAGTTCTGAGCCGAGTGGCCCCTTCCCATGGAGCCTAGCTAGCAGGGCCTCTCCTTCAGGCCCCCAGCCCTGCTGTCAAGGACCTGTTTCCTCCTCCCACCGCTGGCCTGCTGACAAGGGCCGGCCCCATCTGGCCTAAGTCAGATGCTGAGGTGGCAGGCAGAGGAGGGGGTGGGGCTGGCAGTGTGCTGGAGCATGGGCCGCCTGCCCTGTGCTGAGCTGGCAGCTGCTTCTGGGAGCAGGTGGGGCCCCACCCAAGCAGGCTGGGGCAGGTAGGGCAGGCCTGTCTCCAGCAGGGAGGGGAGAGAGGTGATGGGGCAAGCCTGGGCTTTGTTTTCACCAAGATGGAAGGTTGTGGGAGCAGTGGTGTATCCTGTGGGGATTCCTTGTGCGCTGGGGTGAAATGTGTCACATTTGTAGCCTGTGCACACGCCTGTGATTACATGTGTTTGATTCATGTGTGTTTCTGTAGTCCATGTACCCATGGGTCTTGGTAAGGTGTCGTGGCTGCAGGTTTGTGGGAAGGCCACGTGCCCGGGTGGCATTTATTGAAAGACCTGTGTGACCTTTGTATGTTGTATGTGGCTTTTGTATGTTGTGTGTGGCTTTTGTATATTGTGTTCAGGGAAGACATCCATGGGAGTCAGTGTTCAGATGTCTTTCCCACAGGCATGTGTGTTCCTGTGCACATGTGTGCATATATGCATGTGTGTGTGCATGCGTGCCTGTATGTACGTGTACCTGTGTGTCCCTCTTTATGCACACGAGTAGCCCAGGTGTTAGGCCTGAAGCCATAGCTCGCTGTGACCTGTCCTGTGAGTGATATGGAGAACGGAGGGCTTGAGATTTTAGGTTGAAGTTTGAGTGGGTCTGGCCAGACCCAGGACTGATTTATCCTCATATTCCACCACCTTCTTGCTGGGTCTGTGTGTGTTTGAGATGACAACAAACAACTGTGGGCCTGCATGGAGCAGCTCTACTCATTTTCATCTGTGCTGGGTTTTAGGTGTTGAATGTAGAGCTTCCCATACAGACAGCAGGCAGGTGCTCCGCCCTGAGCAACGTCCAGAGCTGGATTCTTCACTGAAAAGTTTTGTTTTTCACTGACTTGCCCAGGCTGGCCTTGAACTCACTCTTTAGCTCAGACGGATCTTCAGATCTCTGCCCTCTGGCCTCGGCCTCGTGAAGAGCTGGGACCATAGGCCTTTGCCACCAGGCCTAGCCACTGTGAGTTGTCTTTTACACCCACTGGATTTTGTAGCAGCAGCGCTGGCCACTGGAAAGTACTGGCTCAGAATTGGGCAGATCATCTGAATGCTGCTGTAGTTTGTTATATGATGTAGAAAACTGGGTTAAACACTGAGATCATCATGAGGGCTGGTATATATTATACAGGTATCTACATCTGTGTGTGTCACCCTGTGGACCAGGCTAGTCTCAAACTCACCATCCTCTCACCTTACCGCATCCTCCTAAGAGCTTGGGTGACAGACGTGTGCCACCATGCCCAGCTCTGTTCATTCTTCTTTCATATAAAAACAGTGTTCCAACATAAAAGTAGCTTGCAGCTCAATTGTGCTGTTTTGTTTTTCAAAAATCCATTGTATTTCTGTGTGCAGCTAAATTCTTTGAGTGTCCTGATCTGTCACACAGATCACAGTTATAAACATATTTATTTAGTGTTACACACACATACACATAAATAAAAATAATAAAAATGATTTTTTTTCCTGTGAATACGTGACATGCCGTGTTTGTGCAGGGATACATGGAGATCAGAGGTCAGTGGTAGCCACTGTGTGTGAGTGTGTGTGTGTCTGTATGAGCTCCTTACATACTGTGTAGGCTAAGCTCAAAATATCCTTCCTACCTGTAGATTGGGAACACCCTGTCACCCCCACCCAAGCCCACATAGGCTGACAGGTGGCTTCTTTCTGTTCTCTATTCAGCCTGGAGGATGGAAAAACCTGAGTAAGGTTGACATGATGTCGCCCAAGTTTGCTGATGTGTGCTACGGTGGCCGTAGGTGACCACTAACAAGGAACCCAGGCAGCCGGAGCTAGTGCAAGAGTCTATGATGTAGAATATGAGGGCTCTGGGTTCAAATTAGACTTTCCTTTTTCTTGTCTGGTGTGGTTTGGGACAGTCATCCTCTCTGCCTGAGTTTGGCCTCTGTGAAATGGGACTGGTGCTCCTTGTATTCAGAAGGTAGGATGCTTCCAAAAGTACTGCAGGGCAGTTGTGGGTTTCTTTCCTTTTTTCCCCCACTGGAGTCAACCCCCGTTCTTTTTTTTTTCTTATTTATTTATTTATTTATTTATTTATTTATTTATTTATTTATTTAAGATTTCTGCCTCCTCTCCGCCACCGCCTCCCATTTCCCTTCCCCTCCCCGATCAAGTCCCCCTCCCTTGTCAGCCCAAAGAGCAATCAGGGTTCCCTGCCTTGTGGGAAGTCCAAGGACCACCCACCTCCATCCAGGCCTAGTAAGGTGAGCATCCAAACTGCCTAGGCTCCCACAAAGCCATTACTTGCAGTAGGATCAAAAACCCATTGCCATTGTTCTTGAGTTCTCAGTAGTCCTCATTGTCTGCTATGTTCAGCGGGTCCGGTTTTAGCCCATGCTTTTTCAGACCCAGTCCAGCTGGCCTTGGTGAGTTCCTGATAGAACATCCCCATTGTCTCAGTGTGTGGGTGCACCCACCCCTCGAGGTCCTTGCTTGTGCTCTCTCTCCTTCTGCTCCTGATCTGGACCCTGAGATTTCAGTCCGGTGCTCCAGTGTGGGTCTCTGTCTCTGTCTCCTTTCATCGCCTGATGAAGGTTAATATTCAAAAGGATGCCTAAGCCGGGCGATGGTGGCGCACGCCTTTAATCCCAGCACTCGGGAGGCAGAGGCAGGCGGATCTCTGTGAGTTCAAGACCAGCCTGGTCTACAGAGCTAGTTCCAGGACAGGCTCCAAAGCTACAGAGAAACCCTGTCTCGAAAAACAAAACAAACAAACAAACAAAAAAAACAAAATCAAAAGGATGCCTATATGTTTTTCTTTGGGTTCACCTTCTTATTTAGCTTCTCTAGTCCTTTATTTATGGCTAGAAACCAAATATGAGTGAGTACATCCCATGTTCCTTTTTTTGGGTCTGGCTTACCTCACTCAGGATAGTGTTTTCTATTTCCGTCCATTTGTATGCAAAATTCAAGAAGTCATTGTTTTTTACTGCTGAGTAGTACTCTAATATGTATATATTTCATACTTCATCCATTCTTCCACAAAACATTCAGGAAACATGTTTTTTTTCCTTTTTAAGTTACCTCCTACGGTTGTGCTTTGAGACTCTACCAAGAGCGTGGAGCTGGAGATGGCACCTTGAGTCTGGGCTATGGTATATAATCTGGCTTGACCCACAAGAGCCCTGGCCACCTGGAGAGATGTAGAATTAGAGCAAAATTCCTCAAAGAATTCCTGAGCCAGGCAGAAAACTGGGGTGGTGGTAGAGGGTGCAGAAAAGATCTGAAAACAGTAGCCATCGAGTGACCACAAAGGAATATCCAGTCTGTCATCTAGGCTTGCCAAAGTAAGGCTGCAAACCTCAAGGAAGCAGACAGAATTCCTTTTGTACAAGCACCCTCACATCTCCCATTTCAAGGGAACAGAAGCTCCTTCATTCACTGCATAGACACTGGAACCCCCACCCCCAGATGTTAGACTCTGCTCTCCCCGTCCCCCAGTGGGCAAACTGTCCCAGAGGGCTAGTTCCGCACCCCCACCATCCCTGGGCGGCTCCCTGCTGACTCAGGCTGGCCCGGCTTAGCGGGGAGGGCCTGGGTGGGAAGAGGCACGGCATAGGGCCAGAGGGGTGCGGTGGCGGGTGAGTCATCGTGGATCCGGCGCGGTGGCGCCGCCTGGCCCCGGCGGCCGTGGGNCCCCCCCCCCCCCCCCCCCCCCCCCCCCCCCCCCCCCCCGCCAGTGGCCCGCTGCATCCGGTTCTCAGGTCCCCTCTCCCCGACCCTGGCGACCTGCAGATTCCACGACCTCTGCCTCCCCAGGGAAGCTCTGGGCTCAGGAGGTGAGGTGGGGGCAGTTTCTGTAGATCATTCCCGCCATGCCACCGGCTTGTTAGGGCCATCCCACATCCGTAGGAGGCGCATATAGTGGGGAGGGGGCTCTGTTTTCTTACTGCGCCCCTCCGGGCTCTTCCCAGGTAGCGACATGGGGTTGCCCAGTGCCTTCTCAAAGGATACAGACTCCCTTGTTTGCTGTGGGGTTGAACCCTGGCACTTCCTGTTGCGGTCTCATGGCCAAAGTTCTTTCTTCCGCGTCAGTCACAGCACCGTCAGTCACAGCACCGACTACTTTCTGCTTCAGAAGAGCACCGCACTAGGAAGGTCATAATCCTAAGACTTTGGTGACCCCAGCTGTTTGCCGACCTTTTGGGACTTGGCGTCAGCACAATGCAGCTTCAAAGAAACCCAGACAAGTTTAGAAGGTAGGCCTGGATTGCCATCTACCGTGTACAAGCCCAGGATGACCAGCCGGAAGTCCTTTCTTAGGATAGTTTGCTGTGGAGATAGAAAGTCTAGGAATTGACAAATCCTCCAGAAATGGTAGGTTTGCTTCTCTGTCACACAGATACAGCCCCAGAAACACACAGGGCATTCGTCCACTCAAAAACTTAGACGTGGATACATGTTCAGATACACACTAACACAAGTGTATTTGTGCCCATCTACAGACACAACAACCCCCCCCCCCAACCAGGAAAGCAGCAACCCCCACAGGAACCATAAAATCAGGTTTTACTGTCCAGGGTGTGATGGGAACCAGCAGGCAGCTGGGTGGGGCAGGAGGCCTCCGCGTCAGGGCGGTGCCTGTTGTGTGCAGCTCCCACTCAGCCCCAGGGTCAGGACGCCTTCATTTTCTAACACACCCTCCTCTGTCCCCAACACCAGTCACCCCATCTTTTTTCCACTGTTGCCTAAAATCAGACCACACCCTCTTGCAACAACTGAGCCGTAAGGTGCACCCCTCCCCCCAATCTATACCCTACTGGCAGGGCCTGAAGGCTTTCTGGGTAGGTTTGCTGGTCTACAGATGTGTTTCTTCCTGGCCAGTCCTGGGTTGCAGGGTTTGGCTCTGAGCACTTGGCTGCTCAGCTCTCTTCAGCTCGAAGGAGACAGAGAGAACTTTGGGCCCCGCATGCACGGTTGCCGGGTAGCCCCAGTCCGCTCTGCCTTGTGGTCCCTGTCCCCAGCCTTGGAGCTGCAGGAATCTGAAGATTGTTCTTTAGAGGACACACACACACACACACACACACACACACACACACAGAGAGAGAGAGAGAGAGAGAGAGAGAGAGAGAGAGAGAGAGACAGACAGACAGACAGACAGACAGAGAGCGAGAGCGCGAGCACTAGGAAGAAGCCCCATGCCTGGGCCTGGATTGATCCGGCTCTGCTGAGAACTCAGGCCACGACGGCCTGGCCTTCCAGTTAGCATTTCACTATTGCGCTCATCTGGCTTCTCCGCTGAGCACCCATGTCTGTCTGACCTGCACCCACCTCACCGAATCTAGACCTACAAGGATGAACCCCACATCTGATGTCACACAGTGACTCTTAGGAGTCAGGCTGTGATTCAGAGCAGGTTTCCTATCCTTGTGGCTAGAAAAGTCCTGAATGTGTCTGCTCTCTCCCAGTGCCTGGCCGTTTTTCTGTGAGCAGATCTGTGGTCTGACTCCTGCCAGGGTCTGGGAGGGAGGTGAGGTCCAGAAGGACTCAGGCTTTGTTCTCTACACTTGGTGGGGGAACGGATGTCAGGTCCCCGATGGAGTGCTCATACCAGTGACAGGACACACAGGTCCTAGGAAGTTTGGTAAGAGTCACCCTGGGAAAGGGTTTTGAGGGAGAGGTGACAAGCCAAAGGGTGCCTAGTCTGTATGGCTAGGGGTCTTGAAGAAGGGGACAATGCTTGTCTGTGCCCTCCACAGAGAACCCCACTGCTTCCAGCCCTCTGTCAGACTCTGGGGTTGGCCAGGAGGAACCAGATGACTTTTTGCTTAGAAAGTTGGACAAAGGCGGAAGGAACAGATGGCGCTCAGAAGCCTTTCCGTGTCTGGTCTTTGACGTCCTATCCTCAGGGTAACCTCCAGGACTGTTCACTAGTCATTTTCCAGGCCTGCACTCCTGGAGCTCTGGGACATGGAGATCACTCCACTCTCCTGCTCTCAAACTTCTCAGACAAGCTCTCCCAGCCTCTGCATCCTGCCCCCTCCTACTGAAGGGTCTATGGAGGGCTAAGAAGGCTTTTTTTTTTTTTTTCAATATTTGGGCCCTCAGCAGGCCCTTTTCTCTTTTGCCTTCAGATTTTCTACCCCCCCCCCCTTTGTCCCTAGGACTTGGATGAGCCAGAAGGGTGGGGCTCCCAGTTGGCAGGACTCGATTTTGCTGCCTGGGAGTTTTTCAGGGCACTAATTAAGAGGAACCACCCAGAGAGAATGACTTCACTTGTTCACGCACACACCCTTCTGCCCTGCCCTCTCCAGTGCCCCCATTCACACGCCAGCCGGGGCTCAGGCAGGCAAGGGTGCAGGTGGAGGAGCCCACGGCAAAGGCAGATCCTCTGTGTATGTCAACAAGCCAAGTGCAGGCTCAGAGCATTTTTGGCATTTCCTCCCCTCCTAGTCCAGTATTGCTGTGGCTGCATTTCTCTGGGTGTTTCCTTCCCACCTGAACTGCAGAGGCAGAAACTGACTCTGGGTGGGAAAGAAGAGGGAGTCCTCCCAGGTCACACGCCCCCCATCCTTTGCCGCTGGGAGGAGCTCTTCCCTGCCTGGGCTTTCGTCCCATCTGTCCGGCTTTCTCCCCTGTGGGGTGGGCCTCACCGGCGGGAACTTTGTAGGGTCGCCGTGTTCTGCCGTGGGAGGATCTCTCCCTATTACTTTCTCACCCCCTCTGCTCCCCAAACTCTTCCCAAGGTGGAGCCACAAATCTTTCTACTCTGGTCCTCTGGGTGGCCACGTGAGCCTAAGGTGGGCTCTGGCACCCATGTTGGATACTTAATGATGGCGCTTATAGCCCAACGTTCCCATATACTCTTGTGCTGCTTTTTGGTAAGACCATGCTGACTCACTTGGTCTTGGTTACTTAGTGAAGGGGAGAAATGTAAACTTCTGGGCTGACTCAGAATCTATTGGGATCCTTGGTACGAGGCAGAGTTACAGTCTGGGAGTGCGGAGAGGGGAGGAGCCAGGCTCACTTTTCTCAATCTCCTTGCATTCTGGGATTGTCCTGTAGGGGTCGCCCTAAGCTAGCTTTCCACGGACGGCAGAAGTCCATAGCTTCTTCAGACTTTGGGTCATATCTCCGACCCGCTGTCCCCCAATTTGAACTCTTTCCTTCTTCCCGGGTCCTCCAGCTATCAGGAGTCCAGGAAATGGCATAAAGGCAGGGACAGGGAATTTGGGCTCTGTAGTGACAGGAGAGACAGATGTTGGTGACTAGAAAGAGCGCAAGCAATTGATATGCAAACGAGAATGGCTGGACCGCCTGGCTAGCACCTGCCAGTCTGCTCAGGCAGGCATCCTCTGTAGCCCTGGGTGGGGAGAGGTGCCCGACTCTTCCCTTACAGTGCAGGCTAAATGCTCAATACCTCCCTTAATCGGCACCATAACTCAGGCAGGGGCTATTGTCCTCATTTTCCATCTGGCTCCCATAAATGTTTCTGTTTTCTCCAGCTCTCTATTAAAGCAGAGGCAAATTTGGTACTAATACAGCAAGCAACACTTCTCTTCCCTCATGGCCTTCCTGAGAGACTAAGAAAGAGGCTCTGGTCTCTGGTGAAAAGGTATTGAGAACCCCTGGACCTCCTGGACCTCCTCTCACGGCTTATGGACTCCATTGTCTCATGGATACATACGCTCACCTGTTCAACCTCTAGCTCTTGCTGCATCAGTGACTTCTTTTTTTTTTTATTTTTTTGTGGCAAGGGAGAAACAGGGAGGGAACGTTGACTGGAATTTTCCTATCTAGCTCATCACTGACTTGTCTTTAAGAAGCCTGGGGGCTGCAGGTGACATTCGAAATGATCCCTGCCCATGGAGGAAGAAAGGCATGGCGGATGTTGACATTGCTTTTTCCTTACAGCTGGATGGGACCCTCTCCTTAGTACACTCTGCTCTAGCGTGGCCTCAGTGAGGAGCCCATCTTCAGCCCCTTAATCCCATCCTAGCGTTCCCCATTTACTGGCTTCTGCTATTTCTTCTGCCATGCCTGCCCAGGCCCTCCTTCCCTCCACCACTCCTTTGGTCACTGAATCCCTTGGAGGTCCCCCAGCCTCTCTGTTTCTGGTGTCAGGGAGTTTGACAAACAGAACCTGGTACATTCTTGGACTGGAATTCATGGATGGCAGGATGATACCCAGTGCTTGGGTCTCTAAGGGCCTTAGACTCCTGCTCGGGGGTAGCTGTGGGGAGGAAGGCCCAGGCTTAGGGGGCAGAGACATTGCAGCTTGACTTGAACTGAGGGGTTTAGGCGAAGACCTGCAGTTCCATCCTCTTTGCACTGCGTTGCACAAGCTCCCACACCCACCCTCCCCATGGAGGTGACCAGATCTCAGCCTCCTCATCTCTCTCCTCTATTTACGCATCTCCCTTTCTCTCTGAGGTCATTATGTGTCCCTCTGACCACCAGCCCCCAGGTATTCCATCTGCTGTGAGCGTGTCTCTCTCTTTGGGCTCCCCTCACCCCTAGAGCTGGGAGAAGAGCAGGGGTGTTGATGCCAGTCAGAGAGCAGACAGACACAGGATTTGAAAGAGGCATTACAGACAACTATAAACTCCAGTTCTGCCACCTTTGGTTGTGCTATCTAGGATGAGTTCTTTAGGTTGGCTGAACCTTAGTTTTCTCAGCTATAAAATGAGGCTAGCCAGTGGTGTCACATGGCAGAAACTAGTTTTCTCATTAAATGGTAATCTTTGTGCATGGTATCAACCACAAGAGGTGACTTCCTGGAAGAGAGGCCATGAAGGAAGCACCCCCTATCCAGCCCCCCTGTCCTCTGAGTGCCCTTCCTCCTTGAGAGCCCCTCCCTTAGTCCTTTCCTGATTATGCTTCTGGAGAGATATGGGTGGAGCAGAGCTCTGGCCCTGAAAGGAGATGGTCTTGGGCTCTGAAGAGCCCTGCGGGTGGCCCATGGCAATGAGTGCACCTGAGCAGGCAGTTTGAGAGGCTTTCCCGGTTTAGAGGGAATTGAAGTTCTCAGTTAGCTCTTCAGAGGAACAGGGGTGGGGAAACGACACCAGCCTACAGGTCTGGCCCAGAGGGAGCATCCCATGCAGCCTGGCTTTGGTCTCTTTCCAGTTTCGATCAGAAGGAGGTGTGAGGCTGGGCAGGGTGGAGCTGGCTTTTCTTTAGAAAACCTCAAAGCTTAGGAAGAGAAAAAAGTCAAGCCAGAGTCTGTCGGTCCTACAGCACCGGGCAGTACTGTCAGCGACGAAGCCCCCATGCCAAGTGCTGTGTGTCTGGGATATGTGGGGACATGGGCGTTTACATGCAACCTCAGCAACCATCTCTAACACATTCATAGCACCTGGCTCTGGCACGCTGCATCGCTCTCACACTCCTTACACATCGGCACACACGCACACCCTTGGCGCTCATTCACGAAGGCTCTGCTTCCCCCACTCTTCAACACACTTGTTCCATACACGCAGGGTATCTTGTTTTTTCTGGAGACAGTCTGGGTTTGCCCAGGTTTTGTCCTCTTGTTTTAGCCTCCCTATTTCAGGCATGTACCACCGTGTATGACTACCCTTTCATTTGTGCTCTTGTGAGCACACATGGGCAGTTCTACCTGGTCATACATGATCTCTTTGCATGTTCACACTCATGTCTTACTACTCCCAAGCACTGTCAGAGCAGGAGTCGACTCAGGAAGGCCAGTATCCAACAGTTCAGGCCTGGAAGGTGAGAGGGCCTGGGTGGGGGTGAGGGTTGATGTTAATCCTGACAAAAGCAACAGCTGGTGCCGCCTTTGGTTTGGATAGCGCTCCTATGAGAAGTAGGAGTTCTTATTCCCTGATCATAGATGGGGTGCTTAGGGAGACTAAGTCTCTTTTCTGAGATCCCACATTCACTCCTTCTCAGCCCACGGGAACCTGTTTTCCTGACCTTACCTAGCTCTTTCTTTGACTCAGGCTTCAGCTTCCCAACTAAGTTTTGTGACTTTTCTGGGGACCATCTGTGACATTTAAGTCCTGAAAAAGGCCGCGATTCACCAGCTCTCGGAGGCTCCTCCATATTAGATGATTTATTCCAGCATCGGGCACCCCGCACCCAGGAGGTGGTGGTGAGAAGGGACTTCTGGGAAGTCTCGTTCCCGGGTAGCCTTCCTTTAGGTTTCCAGTACAGTTCAGGCTGCAGGAACCTGGGCTACCTGCAGGGGGAGTCGAGTGTGGGAGAATCTTGCTCCTGCCCGGAATGCTGGGAATGAGTCTGTCCTGGGAAAGCCTGGGCACTGTCTGGACTTTGCTACATTGCTCCCTCCACTGGCTCCCTCGTGTGTGTATGCGTGTGTGAGAAGCTGTGTAAGAGAACACTCAGTTGTGCACAGATGGGGAAGCCTGTTGGAATATTTGTGTATTGTGTGGTCTCACTATAAAAACACATATGTGCCGGGTGTTGGTGTAGCACACCTTTAATTCCAGCACTTGGGAGGCAAAGGCAGGTGAATGTCCGTGAGTTCGAGGCCAGTCTGGTCTACAAGAGCTAGTTCCAGGACAGGCTCCAAAGCTACAGAGAAATCTTGTCTTGAAAAACCAAAGCAAACCAAACTAAAACAAACCATATAGACAGTTATAAATGATGCTTCCTCTGTACGGGACGTGATGCCACTCTTGACGTATGAAGAATATACAGATACGAACACACGTAAACACAGGTCACAGACATGATTGTAACATGGAAGACCAACGCTGGCTATCTTTCCTTTTCTCTTTTTTTCTTCTTTTCCTTATTTACATCCAGGGTCTGGAACATGCGGGGTAAGCACTCTACTACTTAGCTGTGGCCTTAGCCCAGGCCTGGATTCCCAGTTGCTGTGTTCAGTGCTGGAACAGCATCTGGCCTGCAGTGAGTATAAAGACAACAGGCTGTGAGTCAAGGATGCTGTTCTAGTGGCTTCCAGGGGACCAAAGTTTTGAAAGAGTTTTGTTTTAATTTTCCTAACATTATTTAAAAGTTTATTAAATTTATTTATTTACATATGTTTTATGTATGTGTGTGGGCATCTACATGTGGAGGTCAGAGGATAACTTAAGGAACTCAGGTCTCACCCTCTACCATGGGTCCTGCGGTCGAACTCGGGTCTTTAGGCTTGACGGCAAGCTTTTTACCCAATGAATCATATCTCCTGTTCTGTATTTTTTTCAAGAGTTATTTTATTGTCTGTTGTTTAAAAAAATCAACAATCTGCTTGTATTATTTGTGTCTAGGATAGGAAGTACCTCAGGCTTAGATACCCCCATCCACATTTGAACTGACATGTCTAGATTTTAAAAGTCAGGCACTGGGTGGGATCTTCCTGTCCCTTCAGTTCCTCCACCAACTTCATCCTTCAGCAGTCATGCCTTCCCCCTCCCCCCACTGCCCACAAGCTTAAGCTGGTTTAGCCCCTGGAGCTTTCATGGCACTGTAGCAGGCAAGGTCATGCAGCAATGGTCTAGCTACTCAGGAGCTGGGAGAGAGCCAGGGCAGTACAGGCTGGGCGGGCAAGCAAGCAAGCAAAGGCCTCCAAGACTGCAAGGAACCAGGCTAATGTTGCAGCAGGAAGGATTGAGGTTGGAGAGGAGAGCTTCCTGAATGCGTAGAAGGTGGTGTGAGCCGGTGAGCTCCTAGCACTGTCCCCACTGCTGCTGGAACAGTAGGTCATTCTTCCCTAGGTCATTGCATCTGAAGCACCCAACACAGCGCTTAGGTTTGAGGTGGTGGGTGACAGTGTGATGAGGGTCCCTTGATGAAGGAGTGCCGGTCTATTAAGTGCTTGTCTGAATCTTGCTATGTGACCTTAGGTAGTTGATTCCCTCTCTGGGCCTCCTTTTGCTTTGCAATGAAACAAGGACACTGTGTAGGACCATCCGATGGGTCTCCCTGCTCTGCCATTTCCACCAGCACAAGCTGGGCTCTCTGCATGTGTTTGCTGCCAGATCTTCTTTAGTTATATGCCATTTTGGTCCATATTCCCAAACACCAGATTCTGGGTGGTCATAGACAGGCCCTAGGTCCAGGAAGCTGCTGTCTGTTGCTCTAGTCCTGAGGTCTTCCTCTGAACATGCTGCCTGTGCCTTGACCTCATGTAGATGTGACTCAGCTCAGGGTGACTGGAGGAAGAGCTCATGTTTTTCCTTTGGGGAACTGAGTGGGTTAGGGGTTAGTTAAGAAATTAAGGTTATTTCAGGCAGGGCAGTGGTGGTGCATGCCTTTAATCCCAGCACTCGGGAGGTAGAGGCAGGTGGATCTCTGTGAGTTTGAGACCAGCCTGGTCTCAAACTAGTTCTAGGTCAGAGCTAGTTCTAGGTCAGGCTCCAAAGCCACAGAGAAACCTTGTCCTGCAACACCAAAAAAAAATTAAGGCTATTTCCTAATTTCAGGGCAGTTTGGGAGAGATGCCTCAGCCTCTGTCCTCTCCAAACCTTCTTCTCTCTTTCGCCTTGTTTTCTCTGTCTCTGTGTCTGTTTCTCTCTCTCTCTCTCTGTGTCTCTGCTTCTCTCTCTCTCTCTCTGAGACTGAGTCTCAATCTGTAGTCCTAACTTACCTGGAACTCATTATGTAGACCAAGCTGGTCTTGAACTCACAGAGATCTGCTTGCCTCTGTCTCCTAAGTGCCAGGATCAAAGGCATGCACAACCACACCAGGCTTTACTGAAACTTATTTTTAAACTTTTTATTTTTGAGACAGACTCATATAGCCCAGGCTGCCCTCAAACTATGTAGCTGAGGATGACCTTGTCTCCACCTCCACCGGGGGTTCCAGGTGTGTGGTACCATGTGTGGCGTGTGTTACCGTGTGTGGCGTGTGGTACTGTGTGTGGTGTGTGGTACCATGTGTGGCGTGTGTTACCGTGTGTGGCGTGTGGTACTGTGTGTGGTGTGTGGTACCATGTGTGGTGTGTGGTACCATGTATAGCGTGTGGTACCGTGTGTGGCTTGTGGTACCGTGTGTGGCATGTGGTACCTTGTGTAATGCTAGGGACTGAACCAAAGACCTTGTGCTTGCCAGACCAATAGCGTACCAGAGGAGCTAACCCCTAGACCTTTACCCTAGACCTGACATCAAACACTGCTCTCATGTAGCTCAAGCTGACTTTGGGCCACAGTCTGCCTCTGTCTGTCAGCTGTCTGTGGCAGCTTCCTAAGTGTTGGGATCACAGGTGTGTGCCAGAACACTTGACTCAGCTCGTATTTTCTAGGGTTTGTGTGTGTCAGGGGTATGGACTTCTGTCAGAGAGTTTCCTAAGCTTTTCTGAGACAATGAATTGAGTAATAAATCCATTTACATCACAGTTCTAGGTTAACTTATCCATATGTACTTCAGCATGCCATAGTGTGCTATTGCCCTCACTGGCTGCCAGGCCTTCTTCATTCTTCAGAGCTGGTGGAGACACTTAACGGGCATCCGTTAGTGGACTGTGGGCTGCCTTGTGTAGTTTGAAAATATCCCTCTCTCAGACTGTTCCTTGCAGACAGGGTAGAATCTGCCCCAACTTCATGGCAAGACAGGACCCTCTGCATGGCTCAAGGGGAAGGCTGGTGATCTGGTGGAACCTGGGATCTGTTCCATGGAGATGTGGCACTCCCCTGGCCATCCTGGCCACTTCCAGGTTCAGGAGCACTGGGGAGTTTTCCCCAGAAGCAGCCTGGCTGTCTTAGGAGCTGTGCCTGGTTATATGCCTCATAATATTTACTGGGCTAGAGTTGTTGCTAGCACCTGCAGCCCAGCCGGCAGAACCTGACTGGGTCACCAGGGCGGTGCTGGGGGCTGGGCCCACACGGGCAAGTCTGGGCTCTCAGCTCAAGTCTTGTGGTCTGAGCACAGTTCCTTCTTTATCTCTCAGTGGCCGCTAGGTTATGTCTAGGAACATGTGATGCCTCCCAGCCCGGGGGCACTCACCCCCCTCACCCCGTGTGTGTGTGTGTGTGTGTGTGTGTGTGTGCTGGAACAAACAGGAACACAAACTGTAGCCTCGTTTCCCACGTCTGTCTTCAGTGATAATCACCACAATAGCCTGCAGTCAGCCACAGTGGATACATTCACATAGCAAAGGCGACCATCCCTGCGGTTCCAGCTATAGGAGAAGCAGAGGCAGACGTACTGAGTGAGCTCAAAGGCAAGTCTCGGAAGCTTAGGAAGACCTTGACTCAAAATAAAAGCGAAAAGGTGGGCTGAGGGCACAGCATGGGTGCACAGTGTTTGCACAGCACCTGAGCCGTTCCAGGCTGGCTCCCCAGACCTCAACAATCAAAACACAAAAAACAAAAAGGAAAAGAAGAGAGGGAAATGGCAAATGCTGGGAAGGAGCCATCTGTCCCCTCCCGGAGGGATGGAGAGCGAGGGGAACCAGGCTTGCAACTGGAGCTTGCTTCTGCTGTGCTGCTGGGCCCCTTGTGGCTGAGGAGAGCTGCACCTTCTCCCTGGGCCTTCTTCCCCAGCCCTGACCTCAGGATGCACACAGGCAGCCACACTGTGTCAGAGAAGGTATCTGGGAAGTCTTTCTGGACTGAGTTTGGAAGATCCTTACCTTGGGTCTCTTGGAAAAATGTTCTGGTTTTCTGTATCTGTAGAGAGGATAATCTTGTTTCCTCTGGAGCAGAGGATGAAGACATGGAAGAGGGTGACCCATGACATGTTTGCAAATGGGTAGTTATCAACGTAAACTTGGGTGTCAGCTCTCACCTCCACTGTCCCTCAGAACCCAAGACATTGACCTACTTCCAAGAGGAGTTTTGCAAACCTCTTCTTGAAGCTTCTGTCTTGGGAGTGCTCCCCTCCTTGGTTTGGGGCCTTTCTCTGTCCAGGAAGGGACAGTGTAGACCTCAGAGTGGCTCCCTGAGGCATACCCATTCCTGGTTGCAATAAGCCCATTCCCCAGAGAGTGCCAGCATTCCCCTGTGGTAGCTCAGTGAAGAAAGCATGGCTCCCTGTCCTCAGTCCTGCAGGAGAGGAGCTGGGGCAGACAGGGCCAGCTGTACTGCCCAGCCTAGGGCAGAGGAAGAGTGGGCTACTGTCTATAATGTCACCGAGAGGATGTCATCACCAAGACTGCTAGAAACGGGGAAGCACAGCGCACGGTTACAGGTCAGAGCCTGGGGTGACAGCCCCAGGAAGCTGGTTAGTTAGTCACCTGCACCTGCCCTCAGTCAACTAAACAAACCAGTAACGTGGCCACACTGGGAAGAGGTACATGGGCCCCGTGACTCTCCTTCTAAACTGACTGCATCTCTGGGTCTTGGCACAGGGTTAGGTTTAAGAAGAGGACCAGAGCTCTTCATAGCCAGGCACTGCTGGCCAGGGTGTGGTTACCACCTCCTGCCTGGACCTCACCTTGGGCAATCTTGGAATCCTCTGGTGCCCATGTAGCGGTAGCAACAACACAAATGTATGTTTTCTGAAGGAGGCCACAGGACCACAGACAGATCTGTTACATATTAATAATTAAGTCCCATGTGCATATTAATTAAAAAATTAGAATGAACTCCTTGAAGTGAGGTTTGTAGGATGTAATTTTTTATAGTCTGGAGAGGAGAAAAGTGAACTGGCTTGAGTTCCATTCAAGGGGCTGGTGAGCTAGGGTAGACCAGTCGTCCCGGTACGTGGGAGGCAGAAGGAGAGGTGTCTGGAGTTCAAGGCTTGGCTACAAAAGATACCCTACCTCAAAACAACAACCCACACAACAGCAGCAGCAGCAGCAGCAGCAGCAGCAGCAGCAGCAGCAGCAGCAGCAGCAGCAGCAGCAGCAGGGGCACGTAAAGACACCCTACAAGTCCTCAGTGACCGAAGCAGGGACATGACGGCACTAGGCAGATGCAAATGATGGTTGCTTGGGAGAATTAGGATAGCCAAGGTTAAAATTTGGTTCATTTCTCAGCTGCAAAAGTCAAAGAATGAAGGAAGGTTCCATGGTGACCGAGTCAAGGGGAAGTCGCTGTACTGTCCAGGATGGGTAGAGGGAGTTGCTCAAGGGAAGGTAGGATGGAGAGGCTTTCCTGTTGGGTTCCCTCAAACAGAAACCAGTCACGGAGGGACAGGGAGCCTGAGTGAGTGTGTTCCAGCTTCCAACCGGGGTCAGTTCAGTCTCCACTCCTGTGCCTCTGCTCTGAGCATCTGTGATCCCGGAGAGGACCTGGGTTTCCTGGGCTGGGTCAGGAGCAGGACCCTGACCTGCTGCTTCAGGGAAGACTCCAGGCACTGTCCTCTGGCCCACACTTGCCTCGGTGGCACTCTGTACGCCATTGCACATGCTAGTTCTACATAGGGTCCCTCCCCACCCACTCTTTCCTTTACCAGACTGCAAGGGCCTGTAGGGCAGAGACCTTTGTTAATCTTTACTTGACCTGGTCCAGCCCGGTGTCACAAACATGCCGTGTGTTTCATGAGTGTTGACAGTATCGGTATGTGTTGAGATGGGATTTCAGTTTTGGATCTACTGTGTGGTCTTAGGTTAGGTAGTCCTACCTCTCTGGTCTTCTGTTGACTAAAGTCTCCTTCAACACTGACATCACTGGGGGCCTGAGAGGAGCACTGTTTGGGTGGAGGTGCAAAGACCTGGGGACCCTGCTACTCAGGAACAGATTCCTGGCTCTGATACTCATAAGCTGTGTGGTCTTTAGCAAACTCATTGTTCTCGCTGTGCCTTTATTCTGTAGGTTTCCTCTCTGCAAGATTGCGCTGAAGGTGGCAAGGGAGCAAGCTGCGTGGTCCTGGGAGGCACCATCTAGCAAGGGGATGTGAAAGGACAAAGGCTCTGAGATGCAGTGTTCCTCGCTCAGTTCAGGAAAACCAGGGATGACCTGGCCTTTTCCATGTTCCGTTCTTTCCTCTTTATATCATAACTGTTCTTAAAGACTTGTTTCGTTAACTATCTAGTGCCCGTTTCTCCATTAGACTCTTGAATATCCTGGTACTAAGGCTGGGCTTGGTTCTTAGCTAAATTCTCATCACAGGGCTTGGCACACAGTAGGTGCCTAGCCATGTTTGCTGAATAAATCCATGATGACTGGGAAAACAACAACAACAACACAACAATAGCAACAACAACAACACAACAGCAAACCAACCCCATCTCTCACAGTTGCCCCGGAGAAGGGAGGCAGAGGAAGAGGTCACAGTGCCTGTGTGTGTTTGCACTGCTGGGCTGTGCTGAGCGGGAAGGCCCAGCCTCATGATCCTAGCCACTTTCCATTTTGTTGTCGGACTAGGGGCTTTCTCTTCACCGCCTGCACCCCCAAACACGGTGCCTGTATGATCCTCTCTTAATCTCTCTTTCTGACCCTCTCCTGCATGTATATAACAGATTCTGGTCACTTCACCCCCGTTACCCTCTCTTGCTCCCTTCTCACACCTACAGATCTCGCCTCTTTCCAGTTGTCTCCTGCCATCCCCAACTTATCCCGCCACATGGATCTTGGGCACTACCTGGTCATTAAAAGGAAGTTAATTTTTGTATGTGTGTATGTGTAAATGTATGTGTGAATGTGTGTATGCTTATGTGCATGTATGTGTATATGTGTGTGAATATGCATGTATTTGTGTGAGTTTGTGTATGTGTGTATGAGTTAGTGTATGTATGAATGTATGTATTAGTGTGTGTATGTGTGTGTGTGAGTGTGTATATGTGTGAATTATGTATGTGTATGTGTGAAGGTGTGTGTGAGTGTGTATGTGTGAGTGTGTGTGTGTGAATGTATGTGTGTGTATATGTGATGTGTATGTACGTGTGACTGTGTATATGTGTATATGTATGTATGTGTAAATATTTGTATAGTATGTATATATGTGTGCATGTGTATATATGTATGTATGTGTGACTATGTGTATATGTATGTATGTGTGACTGTTTATATGTATATATGTATGTGTGAATGTGTATATATGTATGTATGTGTGACTATGTGTATATGTATGTATGTATGTATGTGAATGTGTATATATGTATGTGTGAACGTGTGCACTTGTGGAGATGGGAGGGCGACTTGTGGGAGTCAGTTCTCTTCTCCCCGTGTGGATTCTGAGAACTGAACTCAAATGGTCAGGTTTGGGGACAATCCTGTACTTCAAGATCTGTCTAGTTACCTATTTAATGTCTGTTTCTCTACCAGACTCTACCTGTTGAGCCATCTTTCTGGGGTCTTTAAAATGACCTCACATTTGCCACTGGGGTTTTTTAGAAGGTCTCCCATGTTTTTATCAAGGATTACCTTTTGCCAGGTCCATAATCCAAGCTACTCCAGATTCTGAGGCTGGATACTTGCCAAATTTAAAACCTGCCTGGGTTGCAGAATGAGTTCAAGGTCAGTTTAGACAACGGAATGAGACTCTGTCTCAAAGTCAAGGGAAAAGAGGAATCAAGCAGGCTAAACTCAGCGGCAGGGGGCTTGCTGGGCACACAAGGCCACGTGTCCTGGTGTCACACATACTCAGCGGCAGGGGGCTTGCTGGGCACACAAGGCCACGTGTCCTGGTGTCACACATGCACAGGTCATCTCTTCAATCTAATACTGCAGGTTGTGTAGTGAATGCTACACCCCAGCCAGCTTGCTAGAAGGCCAGAAAACATTGCCGATAAGGTGACAGGGTCTCTGAAGGTCTGATTTGCAGGAGGAGGCTCGTTTGGGTAGTTTGGAGGGTTCCTAGAGTAGAGGGAGTGGGGATGCAGCTTCATTTAGTGTACTCTGTGTGGGTGGCATTGTTGGCCACGTCCCTCAGATGCCAGAGTGAGCCCAGAGTGGCCTGAGCTCAGCTGGTGCAATCTCTCTGGTTACCCAAGGAAGCATGGTCTATGCCTGCCCCACGCCCTCAGAGCCCGAGAACGCTAGGGCAAAGCCAAGCCTCTGGTCCCGTGACCCTGAAGCTTCCTGTGAATCTCATGTTCATTACATCACAGGTATGGGGAAGCTCCATGGATGAGGATTTGATGCCAGGCTTGGTGTGACCTCTGTCCTCTTTCAACACAAAGGGAGGAAGGGGCAGTAGATCTCAGTCCCCATAGGACCTCAGGGATGGATTTAAGCAAGGCCCACTGAGGCGGCAGGTAGGAAGGCCCCAGGCCTTTTATCCCCCTCTCTTTAAAATTTTTTATCAATTATTTTAAAACTTCATATGAAAGTACTGTGTCTTTATCACTTCTGGGTCTCCTATTCCCTCTCCAGCAACTCCCATGTCACCCTCCAAATTTATGATCACTATAATAATAATAATAATAATAATAATAATAATAATAATAATAATAATAAAATTTGAGTTAGGGTCTCACTATTGTAGCTTTGTCCTGGAGCTCACAATTATTATTTTGAGACAGGGTCTCACTATGTAGTTCTGGCTGTCCTGGAACGCACTCTGTAGAACAGGAGATCTGCTTGCCTCTGCCTCCTGAGTGCTGGGATTAAAAGCACGCACCACCATGCCCAGCCCCTTTAATTATTATTGTTATTGAGTGCATTTGGTCTGCTCGTGTGTGCATGTGTTCAGGGCTGAGCACGTGGGGCTGGACAATCTGTGGCAGCTCACTCTAGAAGAGAATGAGTCCCCTTTCTTAGCAGGCGTTGATAGCCTGCAGCTCTTCACCCTGGGCTGTACACACTGCAGCCCAACTGATATTGTCACTATACTGGTCTTGTTGGGGCAGCTCACGGGCGCAGCGTCCCTAACATAGAGAAGATACTATGTCACAGCAGCTGTCTTGCTTCTCTGGCTCTTACAATGTTTCTGCTGCCTCCTTCATGAGGTTGTGTCGCAGATGTAGCAGTTGGGGTTGGGCCCAGTCACGTATCCTCTGCACTTTGACCACTTGTGACCCTGTAATGGTTTTCTTCTCTTGCAAAAATAAACTGCTTTGGTGAGAGCTATGCACATCTTTGGTTATAAAGATAAGTTAAAAATTATATTGGTTTAGGAACTGGCAGTTGTGGGTTCTCCTTTGGCCTATGGCTTCTCCAGCCTTAGGTATCTGGCTCGGTTTACAGTACTAGGAACACATTCCCTTCTGTTGAGTGGACCTTAAGTCCAGCTAGACAGCTGTTGGTCACCCCGAGAACAGAGCACCACTATTGCGTCATTGTGGGGATCTTTTGTGTGGACAGAGGCTTTACAGAGGGTAGGGCTGTTGATTGCTCTTCTCCCTTGGTAGCATGCATAGTGCCTTCTGTCACTAGGAGAGCCAGTCCCCAGGGAGAGGCTTCCAGGAAGTTCCAGCTTGGTTCCTTCAAGCCCTGTGTCCTAAGCGTGTGATGTCTTCATCAATAAGGCCTTACCTTATTTATTGCCTTCTGGGAGGCAGCAAAGGATAAAGACAATGACCTACATTGTTTTGAGGGTCTCTTAGACCACCTTTGACCCAAAAACTCAAAGGGAGGTCCCCATGCCTGGCACCATTTTCTTTCTTCTAGATAGTCTGTGGCTCTTGGGAAGAGCATTATCGCTCCAAGTGACACAGCTTCATTTAAATTATTTATATATGTACACAATGCACTTATATATTATATACATGCTGTAATTATTTATATACGTATACACATACACTTATACATTATAATTATGTGTTATAATTTTATATTTGTATAACATACACTTATATATTATATATGTGCTATAATTATTTATATACATATACACATACACGTATACATTATATATGTGTTGTAATTTTATATTTGTATAACATACACTTACATATTATATATGTGTTGTAATTATTTATATGTAAACACATGCACTTATACATTATATATGTGTTGTGATTTTATTTATGTATAACACACATATATTTTATATGTATTGTAATTATTTATATATGTATACACATGCACTTATACGTTATACATGTGTTGTTAAGTAAACTTACAATAGTGTTTCCTTATGCTTTTCAAATCCTTCTTGGTGTTTTCTATCGCTCTTCTCTATTCCCTCTCCCAGATAAAGTCCCCACCCCGTTTTCCCCTCTTCTCACTTTACAGAGCCCGTGTTCTGCTCAACCCTCTTCACAATCCTCCCCAGCGAGGACCCTTTCTTCTCTCCAGGTTTCTGCAGTGATTCCAGGTTACACACATCTAAAGACTCAGAGCTAGATCCACAAATAAGAGAAAATGTGGCGTTTGTCTTCTTGGATCTGGGTTACCTCAGTTAGTAGAAAAGGCCCTAGTTCCATCTGGGACAGTTCAAAATTTCCTTCACAGCTGAGTAGTATTCCAGCGTGCACGCACCCCAGGCTCGCCAGCATTCATTGTCTTGGTCTTAGCCATTCTTACTGGGGTGATGTGAAATCTCAAAGTATTTTTTCACATCTTATTTATTTATCTGTTTGTGCGTGTGTGTGTGCGTGTGTGTGTGTGTGTGCCCAGCATGCATGTATGGAGGTGTGTGTGTGTGTGTGTGTCCAGCATGCATGTGTGGAGATAGAGGACACCTGTGTGAATTAGTGTTCCCTTGTTACCATGTGGTTCTCAGCAACTGAACTCAGGCTGTAGGGCTTGGCAGCAAGTGCCTCTATCTGCTAAGCTATCTCATCAGACTCTCAAAGAGTTTTAATTTGCATTTCCCTAATTGTTAAGCACTTTGAGATTTTTTTAAACCTTTTTAAACTTTTCTTTTTTTCTTATTTTTTATTACTTTATAAACCAATCAAAATTCCCACTTCCTTCCCTCCTCCCACTTGCCTCCTGCTCCCCCACATACCCTCCCCGTCATCCCCCTTCAGTCCTAAGAGAGGGCAAGGTACCCTGTCCTGTGGGAAGCCCAAGGCCTTTCCGCTCCATCCAGGCTTAGGAAGGTATGCATCCAAGGAGAATAGGATCCCACAAAGCCAGTACATGCAGTAGAGACAAATCCCAGTGCCCTTATCACTGGCCCCTCAGTCTGCCCCAACTGTCAACCACACTCAGAGGGTCCAGTTTGAGTGAGCTCCCATTAGCTCAGGCACACTGTCTCGGTGGGTGAACCAACCCCTCATTGTCCTGACTTCCTTGCTCATATTCTCCCTTCTTCCGCTCTTCAACTGGACCTTGGGAGCTCAGTCCAGTGCTCCCATGTGGGTCTCTGTCCCTTTAATCTTTTCTTTTAAGAACTCTCTGTTCAGAACCATAGCCCATTTTTAAAAAATGGGGGTCATTTGTTTTCACAGCTTTGTATTTGTGTTCTTTATCTTTTATAGTCTGGGTATCAACCCTCTATTTGACACACGGCTGACAAAGATGGCTTCACTCTGTGAACGTCCTCTTAGTTGATTCTTTCCTTTGCTGTACAGAAACTTTTCAGTTTTATGAGCTCATATTTGCCAGTTGTTAATTCCTGAACGGATGGCGCCTTATTTAGGAACTCCTTTTCTATACCTACGCCTTGTGGGGTGTGGCTTATGTTCTCTCCCAGCCGCCGAGCAGTTCAGGTTAAAACACCGAGGTCTTTGGTCTACTTGGAGTTGACGTTTAAGGAGGTTGATAGATACGGGTCTTATTTTACGCTTCTACATGTGGGCGAAACTTCCTTTCACAGTGTCTCTGACAGTGGTGAGCAGATTTTGGAGCTGAGTTCTCAGTGGGAGCTGAGTAGATTCCAGCTCTTTCTGACTCCAGGCAGCTTGGTGTGTGCTCCCTTCCCATGGTACAAGCGGCTTTCTCTGGAGTCTTTTCTTTCCTCTTCTCTGGCTTCCCTGGCTCCTCACACCTTGGATTTCTTTATTACTCTTGCCTCCTCAAAGGCTTCTTCATGTCCCTTGAGGTGCTGCCAATGGTCCAGAGAAGGAGGAAGGGGCTTGTCCCCCTCCTGGAGGGAGTGGGAGCTTGGCCGGGTGGAGTCCCTGCGGGGCTGTGCGAACTGTCAAGGATGGTTTCCTCATAGCACCTCTCAAGCGTTTGGTATGTTGTGTTTCTGTTCATTCTTGTTTGGAGCTGCATCCTCAAAGACCCCAAATATCCCACTCTCAGAATTCACCAAGTGCTGGGAGAGGAAGAAGAACAAGGCCATTGTTGTTCCACCAAAGAAAGACCTAGGAATCAGAATGAGAGAATCGGCAGTCCCCAGGCAGCAGCTGGATCATCTACAGGATTCTTTCCTCCTGGGGACCTCACACTGGAGGTTGGACCATAATATTAGGCAGAGATTAGGTGTTCCTCCACCTGCTAGAGCAGGGACAGAATCCACCCTGGGAGAATCCCAGGCCCCTGTTTCTGCTCCCAGCCTCTCAGTCACAGCTTCAAGATGGTCACTTTATTTGTAGTGGGCTGCCTCTCATTTAGCTACTGGAAGGGTCTGGGGTAGCGTGCTGGGAGAGGTAGGATCACAGGATTGATGGCTGTTCTAAAGATCCTGGCTAAAGATACCTGCTTGGTGTGGAGCAGGTTCTGTCTCACATCTCCTGGATGATTGCTGGGTTGGGTCAAAGGAGGGACTGGGTGCCCTGCTTTCCGGTGCCATTTCTACATTGTGGCGTGTCTTTGCTGCACCACCTCTGCCAGCCTCCTGGCTGCTCAGGAACTGTGCTGTGTCTGTGAGGTTGGAGCTCCCTTTGGGAGCTGCATTCTCCCTTGTTCTGCACCTGCACGGTGTGTGGGTACCTCCGCTGCTTCCTATGCCTCCCTCTCCTCTGAATACGTGCTCTCTTCTCTCTCCTTCTCCAGGAAGCCTTCCTTGAATACCCCCAGTGATGTCAACCGTTACTTAGAGCCATGGCTCATGTCTCTAGATGCTTCCTTGTCTTTGGCTTCTAGGGCAGGGTCTGACCTCCTACCTCAGGCACGCACGTGCCATGCGCTTATTTCCCAGGTGTGTCAGAGCAGATCAGCGCAGTAAGTGGCGGAACAGTCAGACTGAGAGCATCTTGCTCTCCGAGGCCCAGCCCAGGGACGGGAGGGGATAAAAGTCTCGTGCCAGGGCCCCAGGGCAGAAGCACACACACTGTGACCATCTCCAGTCTGTCTGAAGCTGCGGGCCTACCTGTCTCTGCCATGTCTCTCTCCCCGTGCCGAGCCCAGAGGGGCTTCAGTGCTCGCTCAGCGTGTTCTACTTTTTCAGGGGCTCGAGGCAGGGCTGGCTTCAGCAGCAGGAGCCTTAGCTCCTCTAGGAGATGCAGAGGAAGCTCTGGTGGGAGGGCCTGGGGGGCAGAGGCCAGGCAAGGGGTACGGTTTGTCCAGAGGAGTGGAGGGTCTGGTCTTTCCCAGTGCCCTCCAGGGGGCATCCAAGCGGTGACCGTCAACCAGAGTCTGCTGACCCCACTGAAGATTCAGGTTGACCCCCAGTTCCAGGTGGTGAAGACGCAGGAGACTCAAGAGATCAGAACCCTCAACAACCAGTTTGCTTCCTTCATTGACAAGGTGAGGGAAACTCAGCCTCTGTTTCTGGACTTCCAACAGTCACTCCAGACAAGATGACCTAGAATAAGGTGCTCTGGCTCTTTCTGCCTTGCTTCGATGGCAAGGAAGTCCTCCTAGGGTCTAACTAGTGGCTTTCTGGTCTGCTGGGGCTCTGCTAGCCCATGGCTGGACCCAGGGACAGAGAACAGCTGGGTAGTGGTGAGAAATCTCATCCCATCCTATCATGGATGTGCTCAGGACCTGTGGGAGGCTTGAGGCTCCTCGGCACAGGCAGGGATGGAGGGGAAGAGTAAGGGACCCACGAGAGGGTCTTTGAAGCGTCCCTCTCCAGAGGCTGTGCCTGGGGAGTCTCAGAACCCTGTGTCTGGTTGCAGGTGCGCTTCCTGGAGCAGCAGAACAAGGTCTTGGAGACCAAATGGGAGCTGCTGCAGCAGCTGCAGGGGAGCCACAGCCCTCAGGGCCTGGAGCACATCTTTGAAGCCTGCCTGGCCCGGCTCAGGCAGCAGCTGGAGGAGCTGCAGAGAGAGCGAGGGGCTCTAGATTCTGAACTGAAGACCTACCAGGATCAGGAGGAAGAGTTCAAGTCCAAGTAGGCAACAGGGTTCTTATGTGGAATCTAGGGGGTGGTGTGTGAGCGCTCTGCCCACCCGAGGGTCTCCTGCGTGTCCAGCACCCAGGGCTGCTCAACAGACCTCCGTTCCATCGTTGAATGCCCTTTTCCTGCCACTAGGCTCACCTGTAATATGTAGAGGACACCCCCTTCAGTCCCCCAGGCTTAGAGAGGCCTGGAAGAAATATTGAGGTCTCTTTTCAGAGGGCTGAGGCCTAGACTCAAGGGCCCATGTGTCTGGTCAGGACAACACCTTGCTGTCTTTCTCAGGAAATTCCTGTTTAGCAGGCTGTGGGGCTGACGTGACTCAGATGTCCTCTGGTCTTGGGTGGGGGCAGTCAGTTTAGTGCACCCATCCCCAGGCCCGTGTTGTGATTTACGGCTGCACTGTGGTGCTAGGCTCTCTACCTAAGCAGCCTGGTAGTGCAGGCAGCCCTGGGCTGAGGGGTGGTGAGGGCTGGGGAGCGCCTCCTACGTCTCCTAGTCTCCCAGTCTTGGCTTCTACTGTTGCAGTCTGGGAAAAGGTCATTTCCCTTTGTGGTCTCCAGGGCCTCTGGGAAAGGAACAGGTGGGGTAGGGAGAGAGGCACCCAAGGGTTTCAGGTCTGAGTGGAGAATCTTGTCCCCCACTTTCCCATGAAACCCATGTAACCTGCTCAGAGGCATCTGAGCACTTGGAAAGCCATCAAGACACGTGACCTACTGTTCTGTGGGATGTTGGCTGACGCAGGGGTATAGCTAGGGTGTGACAAACCCCTGCAGGGAAATGGGAAAAGGGTCAGTGGGGCACCTGACTTGGGGCCTCTGAAGTGACAAGGACACTCAGGGAGGTATGGGGGTGCAGAGTGCAGGGTGGACTGTAGGTAGGAAGTGTGGGGGTGCAGAGTGCAGGGTGGGCTGTAGGCAGGAGGTATGGGGTACAGAGTGCAGGGTGCGCGTTAGGCAGGAGGTATGGGGTGCAGAGTGCAGGGTGGGCTGTAGGCAGGAGGTATGGGGTACGGAGTGCAGGGTGGGCTGTAGGCAGGAGATATGGGGTGCAAAGTGCAGGGTGGGCTGTAGCTCTGACCTGGTTTTTGACTGTCATTTTCCATTTACAGGTATGACCAGGAAGCTCACAAGCACGCCTCAGTGCAGAATGACTTTGTGGTCCTTAAGAAGGTGGGAGAGGCTCAAATGCACCGCCCAGAAAGCCCCCACCAAGCCCTGAAGCTGGTCCTAGGCTGGCAGGGTCTAATGTGGAGATACTGACTGAGGACAGGTCGTGACTCTGCATGCAGTCACCCTCTGCCGGAATGGAGCATTTCTCTAGACACAGGCACTTAAAGACAGATCCGAATGAGATGCTGTTTGCTGGGCGCTGGGCTTGCTGTGAAGGCAGGGGAGGAAGAGCAGACAGCACAATAGGGTGGGGTCAAGCAGGAACTGTGTCCCTCAGATAGTGCAGAGCAGGGCCGAGTGGGGAGAAGAAGGGGGCTCGGACAGTGGCACGGGTGTCCGAGAGGAAGTGTGAGGTTCATGGTTTCTGTCTTGCTGTCCTCAGGATGTGGATGAGGTTTTCCAGAGCAAGATGGATTTGGAAGGCAAGCTGGAGTCTCTGAGAGAATACATCTGCTTCTTGACACGTCTGTATGAAGAAGTAAGGACCTGTGATGGACAGGGAGAAATGGCTGGAGGGACAGGCTCCCTGTGGCCATGGGGGGAGCCACTAGGGGGGAAGTCTCCTAGGATAGCTTTCGTTCGTGGTCGTTCATCATTTGACCACCAGCTACTAAGCACCAGTGTGAGATTCACCAACGAATAACCAGTCAAAGCCCTTGTGGTAGCTTCTATTAGGAGTCAGACAGAGCACCGGTCTTAGTAAATGCAAATTCCACTCCGTTAGATGGTGCCGGGTGCTACAGAGAGCTGGGAGAAGGTTGGGAACGTGGGTAGGTGGCGATTGCAAGTGAGCCTTGTGTAAAAGGTAAAACAGGCTGAAAAGTGAAGGGTGGAAGGCACTCCTCAGGCAGGAAGTTTCTGGGACTCTGGGCAGAGAAAGTGTGAGGTGACCAGTGTGGCTGCGGCAGGAGGATTGTATGGAGGAAGGTAGGGTAGGAGTGAGAGGGGGTGACAGGGATAGGTGATTTGGGGCCTCATGGGTAATTTTCCTTTACTGTCCACACTGCGAGTCACTGGAGACCACCTCAGTGGTCCTTACTCAGCAAATTTGTCCTACCACTGGGCGATGGGCAAGTACATGGACATTCAGACATCTTTCTCCTCTTGGGACAGGACAGGGAGGCAGGGTGGGAGTCACTGAGTTGATTTCTCCTACAGGAACTGAGACAGCTGCAGACTCAGGCAGATGACATGTCTGTGGTGCTGTCCATGGATAACAACCGTTGCTTTGACTTCAGTGACATCATTGCCGAGGTCCGTGCCCAGTATGAGGAGATCACGCGGACGAGCAAGGCTGAGGCAGAGGCTGTGTTCCAGACCAAGGTGCTGTGGCCCGAAGAGCAGGCTGAGAGGCTGGCTGGGTGGTCACACTCGCATCCCAGGGAGGTCCTATTGGGGCAGCTCCAATGACATCCTTCAGGTTCAGAGCTCAGAGGGTTTGGCGGTGTCCACAGATCAGGAGGGGACAGTGGCAATAAAGTAGGAGATAGCTTGGACATCAACAGGCAAGTCTGCTGTGAGCTTTGCAATGTAGTTGGTCCACACTGGGAAAATGTAGACATCAGGAGACATCTCAGGGTGGGAAGATGGGCAGGTCCCTGATTCTGGAGTGAGAGTTAGCCGTCGACTCAACCAATGGTGTTACCTTTGTGCACTCAGTACCAGGAACTTCAGGCATCAGCCCAGCTTCAAGGGGACAACATAAAGGAAGCCCGGATGCAGATTTCCCAGCTTCGGCAGGCAGTGCAGAGGCTGCAGAGTCAGATTGCGAGCCTCAAGAAGCAGGTAGGCTCTCCTTGTCTTCTGTGGCATCCAACTTCTGCTTGGTGCCTCCGTCCTCCACTGCGCGTTGTTTCCTTCCCAGGCGGGCTTGTAGGAGGATGTGTAACTGGCTGGGACTCAGAGACAGATCTTCAGGTCACCTCTGAATTGACTTTGCCAGTTCCCTGTGAACGCCAGCCTGCACGCTGGCTTTTACTTACAGTCTCCGTTCAGGTGGATGTCTTGCTTCTGCCTCCTTGGAGAGAGGGTCCGTTTAACTCTTGCTTCATGTCCTCTTTTGACTTCCTCTGCAAGCAAACAGGAACTTAAGGTCAAACACTGACTTCTTTGGTTTCCCTTTGGGAAAAGTATGTGAGAGAGAAGAGCAAGAAAGGGAGATGGGCCTATGGGTGGAGCCTTCTCAGGAGATCTCACAGAAGGTCGAGGAGATCTGAGGTGCCCCGTTCTCCCAGGTGGGAAGGGCGATGACTTACTAGCTATCACTGTTCCTCGCTGTTCCTCATTCCTCATGTTCCTCAAAGCCAGATTTGAGACCCATAGCGGGTGATAAGCGTAGAGTACATACGTCAGAATATATATGTAGGGGCACTTGCTGCTGTTATGTGGGTGGGGATATCTGAACTTCCATCCCATCCTAATGATTGCACAGCAAGTCCTCCTAACCAGCATCATCTCTACAACCTCCCCCAAATATGCATTTTATTTAAAATTAATTTTATTTGTATGGGTATTTTGCCTGCAATAAGTCTGCATATCATGTGTGTGCCTGGTAGCCATGGAGCTCAGAAGAGGGTGTCTAATCCCCCGGAACTAGAGTTACAGATAGTGTGGGCCACCATGTGGGTGCTGGGAATTGAACCCAGGTCCTCTGGAAGAGCAGTCAGAGCTCTTATCCACTGAGCCATCTCTTCCCTCTCTGCTTCTTTATTCATCTATTTACTCTTATTTTATGTTATTTGAAGCTTTGTTTGCATGTACATCAGTACACCTGTTTTTCAAGTAAACAGCCCCGAGGACCACAGCCTCTCACCTGTGCTTTCCCTGGGAGAGTCCTCTCCGTTTTCTGCACAGGTCCACGAGACAGACCTTTTCATACTGACTCAGACTGCTGGGTCCCTACTCAGCCACCCATCTCCTTTCTGAGACATGGACAAACGGTCTTGTTCCTGGTCTGGGGTATTTGTGTGAGGACAGAGCAGTGACAACCTCGGGAGGATTTCTTCCGTTCTGCATCTGAGGCAATGCTGAGTCTCCTACACACCTCTGCTTCAGTGTGCAGTGACACAAATTAAGGACTCAAATTAAGTACCATGGGCTGTCATGAGATGCTTAACTGAATTGAAGACCCTGCTTCCAAAGATCATGTTTTGAGGTTCTGGGTGAACACAAAGATTTTGGGGGACCCCAGTGAACCCTCTGCCAAGGCAAAAAAGCCTTTAGGCAATATTTTCCTTTAGTGTGCAAGGGGCTGGGCATCGGGTGGTCATGCATAATTCTGAGCTCATGAAATTAGGGTCTATCTGGGTCTTCAAATTATACCCACGGTGGTTGTTTTAAGAGGCCCTGCCAGATGTCCCGTCACTTCCTCCCTCTCTCTACCCGCTTCCAGAATGACAGTCTGCAGTCGGCCTTTGCTGATGCTGAGCAGCAGGGGGAGATGACTCTGAGGGATGCCAAGGCCAAGCTGGATGAACTGGAGGATGCTCTAAGAATGGCCAAGCAGGACATGGCCCAAATGCTGCGCGAATACCAGGAACTGATGGGCACAAAGTTGTCCTTGGATGTGGAGATTGCCACGTATCGAAGGCTGCTGGAGAGTGAGGAATGCAGGTGGGGATCTGGAGGGACCTGGGGATGGAACTGTGCTGGGGGAGAATGGCCAGTGCAGGCCTTCTTTGCTAGAGGGCATTCTGTGAGATTTCCTTACCCTAGAAGTCACAAATGGCAACCACTTCCTTGGGAGGGATTTTATATTGGGGATTGCTTTCTTTACAGCCTTTCTTAGAGCTGTCCCCCTGTCTTTCTTCCCTCAGGATGTCAAAGGAGTACATCAGCCAGGTCACTGTCTGTGAGTATGAGGGGACTTGGAGAGTAGGGTTACATTGGGGTGCTGAGGACCCTGCTGTGACCCTAGTGCATTTCTTGGCAGCCACGGCAGAAGGCAGTGTTGTCCCTGGAGGAGTTGGTGGAGGCCAAGTGGTCATACCTGGAAGAACTGGAGGAGGCCAAATGATTGTGCCTGGAAGAACTGGAGGAGGCCAAGTTGTAATACCTGGGGGAGATCGTAGAGGCCAAATGGTTGTGCCTGGAAGAGTTGATGGAGGCCAAATGGTTGTGCCTGGAAGAGTTGATGGAGGCCAAATGGTTGTGCCTGGAGGAGATCATAGAGGCCAAATGGTTGTGCCTGGAGGAGATCATAGAGGCCAAATGGTTGTGCCTGGAGGAGATTGTAGAGACCAGATGGTCATGCCTGGAGGAGATTGTAGAGACCAGATGGTCATGCCTGGGGGAGATCGTAGAGGCCAAATGGTTGTGCCTGGAGGAAATGGAGGAGGCCAAATGGTTGTGCCTGGAGGAACTGGAGGAGGCCAAATGGTTGTGCCTGGAGAAGATTGTAGAGACCAAATGGTCATGCCTGGGGGAGATCGTAGAGACCAGATGGTCATGCCTGGGGGAGATCGTAGAGACCAGATGGTCATGCCTGGGGGAGATCGTAGAGACCAGATGGTCGTGCCTGGGGGAGATTGTAGAGGCCAGATGGTCATGCCTGGGGGAGATCGTAGAGGCCAAATGGTTGTGCCTGGGGGAGTTGGTGATGATCAAGTGGGCACTTGTGACCTCAGAGGCTGGAAAGGCAGCTTTGGGTCTGGAGGCTGCTCTAGTATCGTAACTGGGGGCTTTGCTATTCCCCATGGATCTGGGCGCAGTCCCAGTGTGGGTTCCTGCTCTGTGTCAGGCTCTGGTTTCAGTTCTGGCTCTGGCTCCTGCTGCCGCACCATCCTGAAGAAGACAGTGGAGTCAAGCCGGAAGACATCTGTCATTTACTGAAAGACCAGGCAGTCACATCCCTTCTGAGCCTAGCAGCCCTGTTTCCATTCTGCCCCCATGTCCAGCGTCCACAGCCCAAGGCAGCCCACTGGTTACTGGAGAAAGTCAATAAAGTCTGCCTGCCTGCTGGTCCAGTGCTCAGCAGGCAGGCACTGCTCTGCATACTCATTTGAATCTCATTTGTGTGCGCGTGTGTGTGTGTGTGTGTGTGTGTGTGTGTGTGCGCGTGTGTGTGCATGCATGTGTGTGTGCGTGTGCGAGCGCGCGCGCGTGTGTGCGTGTGCGTGCGTGTATGTGTGTGCGTGTGTGCAGCCCATGTGGTGCACAGGCTAAGTCCTTCAGCCAGCAGCTGTTTTCACTCCCTTCTCCATGGTCTTCAGGCTGGCCTGGAAGACTATTTGGCCAGTCTTTAGCTGGTTCAAGCACCCTTCAAGTGGGAGGGAGGGTCTGAAGGTCTCTAACTGGAGGCTGGAGACTGGAACCCAGGAGTGCAGCTTGGTTCCTTCCTCTGCCCTCTTTCTGCACCTTCTTCAGCTGTTCTGGGCAGGGTTACAGCATCCAGTTCCCCTGTCGCCTTCCCTTCTGCACAGTCTATGCTCAGAGCCACGTCGGTGCTGTGCACCAACACTGGGGCTCTTCTGACAAGCACTGTGTACCACATCTCTCCCACCCTGTCCACGTCTACCACCTCCAACAAGTCCCTCCCGCTCACGAGCCTGAGCTTCCTTTCAGACCAAGGACTGGCCTCCTGTCACTAGTTCGGATCCCCTAGTGGGTTTGTGGGAGGCTGCTTTTTGTCCTCTCCCCATTTCCAGTGCACAGTTCGGTGTTCCCCAGGGCAGCAAGCCAGGTTCCTGCTACCCTTCCCTCACTGCTGCAGGGCCTTGACCTGGCCTTGGCACTCCTGACTGGAAACACCCCAGCAGGTGCCGAGTTCAGTTAAGATGCTCAGTAACAGCCTTGAAATGAGTTCCAAAGGCAGAGGCCGAGGTTTCCCATGGCGAGTGTAGCTCCTGCGCCATTCCTTTACCAGCAATTCAACTCTGCCCCCAGCAAAACAAAACAGAGCGACAAAATGGAACCTGTGCATTTCTCACCCCGCTCTCCTTGGAGCACATCTGGGGACCATCTGCAGTGTCCAGTGACACTGTGACGTCACCCTGAGCACCACAGTCATCAAGGAAGTCCTTTACTCCCCGGGTGTACCCTAGATGTACCATCGAACATGCTGCTCCACCTCCCCATCCCCCGTGGCTCTCAGGACTAACTGCTCATCAGTTGTCTGCAGAGCTTGTCCCCATCAAGGCTGTCGGCTTGAACTCGCTCTGGTTCTGACCTCAGCTTCTTCCTTTAGTTCTTCCTTAGGCTGCATTTTCTTCTCCTGGAAACCTTTCCACTGCCCCATGTCTGAGCTGCTGAACCCTTCCTGTGCCCTGAACATTCTGGTTGCACTGTTGTGGTCCCTGGCTACACATTCAGCTCTGGTAGGGGAGACCCTGTGTCTCCATTAGCCTCTGGGTTTCCCCACTCAACTCCTGAACCCAGGAAAGGGATCTCATGGGGACTTGAAATGGCCTAGGTCCTGGTCCCTGGACTTGTCTGAACTTGAGCTTAGAAATGTTTTTCTTCTCTTTTAGGAAGTTCTGAGGGAAGCCAGGCTCATGGGAGTCGGGGCTAGGAGGTTCTGGGAGGATTGACTTCTCCCCTATTCTGGGTGCGGTGTGGGTCTCTTTGATGTCTCTTCCCTGCTCCCTTTCTGTCCTGGGGCCTGGAGAGACAGCCTGCCTATGCGGTCAGTTCTGTGGCCTGGGCTGAGGGATATCCTGAAGTTCTGCTGCTATACCAGGGAAAGGGTGGCATGGATTCGTCCATCACTTACTGTAAGACTTTAAGACAATCCTGAAGCCATTTTTGACAATTCTGAATCCTCTCAGCCTCTGTGCCATAGTGCTTCCCCTCCTCCCCTGGGAACCAAGGACCTAACAGCTACACTTGCACGTACTCAGTTCCTGAACAATTACCCATATACGTATGCTTTGGTTCGGTCCCCTGGGAAACGGGGTCAAAATGACCTCTTACCTCATCTGATCTGGCAACAGCTCTCCAGTCAATTATTGGTAATAGCCCTTTCAAATAAGCCAATCAGAATAGTCAAAGAACAACCCCCCTTGCTTCTGTGGCCCCTTTAAAAGTAGACTGTACCCGCTATTCGAGGTCCCTCGGCTTCCCGAATGCTGGGGGACCCTGTCATGACAGAATTAATAAAATCCTCATGCTTTTGCATCGGCTGTAGTGTGTGAGATGGTCTCTGGGGGCGACTCCTTCTCGGTGTTTGGACGCCAGAGTCCAACATTTGGTTCCCTGACCGGGAATCGAGTCGCTCCCAGACACACTCTAGACCCAGTTGGAGGTATAAAGAAACGAGCTCATTTTTATGTCTGTCTGTTTGTATATTGTGTTTCTGTTTCTGTGTATTATAAATTAGTAATCTGAGAATTGTACCTGCGCAGGGCTAGTATTTGAAGGGGACCAGGCAGTGGGACAGACGTGTCCGGGAACACTCCCTGGCCCAGCCATGGAGGACGCTTCACTGGCAATTTGTGAAACTAGGAGCAACTAGGTCATCTTAGTTTCTAGGGAGTGTGGCCCTTATTGCCCACTCCCTTCCAGGTTCGTATCAGTTTGTTGCCGCGCGGCTTCTGATTTTGAGTTTATGTCTGTCTTTTTGTTCTTGTGTATTTTCAGTTCTACACCAGAGTGGTGGTGAGAGCACCAGCTTCTGGTTTTGAGTTTATGTCTGTCTCTTTGTATTTTTTGTTTTTGTATGTCGGTTTGTCTTTGTTAAAATCCACCTGCAGGAATTCAGAACCTGGCACCGGCCCCCTGGCCATCATTAGTTTCCCTGATTCCGAAAGCAGCCCCACTGCTGGAGGAGATGGTGGCTGCCCCTCCCCAAGCCCTTTGTCTTCTCTCTTTCCTGTACAGGAGCAAAAGAAACCCAGAATCCAGGCACCTCTGGTTCTTCCTGATATCCAGCCGAGCATGACAGACTTCTCCCTCCTCCTCCCCTGGAGGAAGCACTTCGTTCCTGAGGAGCCCCGCTGGTCTGGCCCTAGCCCTGAAAACTTCGGTACTCAGCATCCACACTGGGACAGGGGAAGGATGAGAATGACTTCCCAAACATTTCCCCTTCACTCAGTAGCAGGCCAATTGCAATACTGCCTTTTTCTGCTTCTAATCTTTACTTACAACCCTTCCTTTTCTCGGGACCCTCAGACAGTGACCGGGCTTATAGAATATGTTCTGGTTATTCATCAGCCCACTTAGGATGATTGCCAGCAGCTCTTATAGGTGCTCCTAACTACAGAGAAAAAAAGAATGTCCCAGGAGCTGACAGCAGGCCAACCCAATCACCGGACAAGAAAGAGGATGGGACTTCAATACTCCAGCTGGTAGGGAGCAGCTTCGTCTTTATTGCCAGAGTCCAGTTGGCGGGTCAAAAAAAAAGGGGGGGGGGTTGCAAAGCACCCCACTAATTTGCTAATTTGGCTAAGGTAAGAGCAAAGGTCTGATAGTACTCCTACAGGATTTTTAGAAAGACTATTAGAACGGGACAGGATGTAAACCCATTTTGATCCCATGGCAGCAGATCGCCAAGCCAATGTAATAATGTCTTTTATAGGCCAGTCAGCATCAGACAGCAAGTTGCAGAGAATGGAGGGGCTGCAGAGATGCTCCCTCCAGGACTTAGTAAAAAAAAAAATTAGACAGATAGGGAGGCAACAGAAGACGACAGCTGCAGAGACTGCGCACCTCAGACAGAGCAGCCCCTGAATGGCCAAATGCAGACTTCAGTGAGGAGTGGCCCTACAGGACTTTGGGCTCGAGACACTCCCAAAGCAGCTGCTGAGCAGAAGCAGGTCGGAGAACGGCGCCAAGCACAGCCGGCTACTGAAGCGGCACTCTGCCCACCTGAGAGGCCAACGCAGCAGCCACAGTGATAGTACTGAAATTCCCCCCCCCCCTTGCTTATGCTGTGCACCCAGGTGTTCGATTCTGGGGTGTACGGAAAAAAAGGGGGAGGGGTTACCCCTCGCTATATCTAAAGCATTTGACTATGGACACAAGAACTGCTGATTATTCCTGAATGTCCCACGCTTTTATTAAAAAAAGACCTGTTGGAGACTTTGATTTCCCCTACTGTTCTCCAGGACTGTAAAGAAAAGCAGGCTGCTCTCTGCCTTCGCCATGCCCACCTTGCTGAGGAAGGCTTTGCAGCCACTGCTGGCTGAATCCTCCCAGCTGCCTTGGTCACAGCCCAAGCCTGGGAACTCTGCTTACAGCCACCTGCCCCCGCAGGTAGCAACTGACTGAAGCGAGGAGGGGCCCGGGAGGTTCCGGAGCCCAATTCCAAACAGCCTTCCCGAGCTGCTTGCAAGTTTCACAGAGAACAACTGCTCCCAGCTCCCAGACCGCAGCTATGGAAAGCTTGGGGTTCAGCAATGCCCAAGCAGAGCCGGTTTTGATGGCGCATGCTGGTAAAAAGGCAGGGCAGCAATGGTAAATGAGCTGAGCAGTCTACTTAAAGGGACATCACCTGGATGGCAGAGAATCTTTTTCTTACCAGGACTAAGAAGATCAAAGAAGAAATCTTCTCGAGGTTTGGCCTGCTCAAGGTAATCGAGGTTGATGGTAAAACTGCCTTGTTGCTCAAAAAAAGTCAGGGCATAGGTAAGACTGGAAAAAAAATTACATTGTGCATACAGACCCCAGAGTTCAGGACAGGTAAAAAGGATAAATAAAGATCCTTACCAAATTAGCCTTTGGAGTCTGGCACTAGAGACTGGGTACAGCTCCTTCCCCTAGCCCCGTTCTGTGTATGAAACACCCCGTCTCAGCTTGGACTAACCCCCTATGAGATCCAATATGGGGGACCCCCTCTTAGTTTCCTAAGGCCCCTCATGACCCATTTGCTCACAAACCTGATCTGCAGGCGCGGTTGAAGGCTCTCCAGATCTCCGAGCCCAGGCATAGAGACCCCTGGCCACCCTGACACCTGGAAATCTCGCATTCGTTCCAGAATTGACGCCTGGGGTATATCCGGAGGGACATGAGAAAAGCTGCAGCACCCCACAGCCAGAACAGCAGCTGCCCGCTCATACCTGCAATCCATGCCTCCTCAAGCCCTTGCTTTGATACCCCTGCCCTTACCCCTGATTTCTGTCAACTAGTAGCAGGGCTAGCCTCCTGGGATATCTGAGATACATATCCCCCACAGCTGACCCTGGAGGCTGGCAAAAGATTTTCCCCTGGAGGAAATATTTAAACACTGGGGTTCAGACATCTCCCCCACTTGTCTCCTAGGGGCGAGAGGCGGGACTGTCTCCATGGGTGTCGGGAAGGACTTGGGACATAAAATGGTAGAGTCCAACATTACCTGGGAGGAAGTCATGCCTACCCATGTTTAGGAGGCTCGGGAGGGTGCTTTGGTCCAAGTTCTACCATTCCTGGACATGTGTCTAAGATTTTGACTAAGTGGGAGATTTTCTCCATGTTTAAGTGTCCTCATCCATAAGGAAACTCTAACAACAACCCGCTGTGGTAGCTGGGTCTGTAACCTCAGCATTTAGGAGGCTGAGAAGAGGATTGCCACGAGTTCAAGGACAGTCTCGGCCACATAAGTGAGTTCCAGACAGCCCACGTTACAGAGTGAGACCCCTCCTCAGGACAATCAGATAGACAAACAAAACAACAATAACAAAACAAAACAGTCACTGCCTCTCAATGCACAGCACAATCCCAGATAGGGCAATTCAGCTGAGTTGTTTCCAAAGATGCTTTCCTTCCCCTCCATCCTGTGAGGACACCTTCCTTGGCAACTGTGCTTTGGTGGGGTCCTAGGGGAAGGACCCACAGTCTAACTCAGCTGGGGGTGATTGTCCGGGGGTGGAGTGGGTTCTTAAATGCCCATGCAAAGCACAGATATTACAGAAGCTGGCTTGGGGATCTCCTTGATTGCCAGGGCCTCCTTTGTGCCTCTAGTGGGGGACTTGTATTTCTTTAATTAAATAGTTAAATTTGAGCCTACAGGGTCTTGCTCTTCAGACTGGCCTGGAACTATGTAAACCAGGCTGTGCTCCAACTCGTGATCACCTGCCTTAGCCTTCTAATACTGTGATTATAGACGTGAGCCATCACACCAACCAAAGAGGGGATTTTCTACATCATCATTATCATTATTATTATGTGTGTTTTAGGTCAGGTGACATCTTTTGGGAGCTAATTTTCTCTTTCCACATGTTGGGGATGGGAACAGAACGTTGATCTCTGGGTTTGTGCAGTTAAGTGCTTTTACCTACTGAGCCATCACCCTGACCCCAAATGAAGAACTTCTTAATGGCCTTGTCCTGGAGCACACTGGGTCCAGTCCATTCCATGCAGCGAATTGTACATATCCACCACCTCTTTCCACAACTCTGATTCCTTTATTTGTTTACCACCCTGGAAGTGAGGACCTGAGAGAACTGAACTGACTTAGGAAGGAGTACTTCCTGAGAAGAGAACTGCAGCCATGGGCCTGCAACAGCAAGAAGCAGGGAGGCAGCTACCATCCCTCCAGGGAGCCAGCTAGCTGTTTCAGTTACCTGGGCCCAAGAAGACTTCCAGTGTTAAACCAGGACTGGGAGGAGCAGGCATCGACCATCCTGTATAGCGATGAAGAGACACGAGACAAGGCAGGAGCAGAGAGCTGTTTCTGCAACAGTGGGAGGGAGCTGCAGTGTGAATCCATGGAAGTCTGGGAATGGTTCTTAAAAATTTATTTAGGTACAAAATAGGGGTAAGCGCTCACTGATACTGAATGGGTTAGGCACCACCGCTGCCTTCGTCTGGTCGTTCTGCCCGGAGGTGAAGAAGCAAGCCGCCTTCTCTGCTCCAAACCACCTAAGAGAGCGTGAGGGAAAAAGAGTGAGAGGCCCATTCCCTCAGCTTTATAAGTTGTCATGTAGGCAGAAAAGACTGTGGTGATATTTCATTTGTATTTTAATAAATAAAGCTTGCCTGAAGATCAGAACACAAAACAGCCACACTAGTTAGCCATAGAGGCCAGGCGGTGGTAGTGCACACCTTTAAACCCAGCACTAAAGAGGAATATAAGGTAGGATGAGACAGGAACTCTCTCTGTCAGACTGAAGATTTCATAGAGGTAAGAACTCTCTAGTGCCGTGGCTGTTTTGCTTTTCTGATCTTCAGGTTGAACCCGAATATCTGTCTCTGAGTTTTTATTATTCATGTTACATTTGGCATCCATCATTTGGGGTATGAGTTCATGAAAAAGCTGTTTGCCTATGGCTTTTTAGCCACTGGCACAGGCTGGAGCTGCACAGGGGCTCCAGTCCCATCTGCCTAGGCTTTCTTTTCTTTTCCCCTCAAGCTTCTGAGTTTGGGATTTGGCCCTAGACTGGATGGTTCTGCCTTCGGGTAGCCCCCCAAATCCCACGCCACACATACTTTTTCCAAACAATCCCCTGTGCATTTTTTCAGACCCCCTCCCTCCACTGTGTGATGCAGGCTCTCCCTGAACCATCTTCTTGGGCTGCTGCCAAACTTGGTACTTGCCTTGAAGTCCAGTCAGGCTTTTACTGTTGTACACAGCAGCAATAAGCCTCACATCTTCATCAACATCATCTGTAGATGTAAGACAACTGGGAATTCTTAAAGGGAGGAATCAGTTAAAAGAGTTTTTTCCCCACATTAAAAATGGGGAAAACTATTACAATGGAGGGATTTGGGTTTCTGTATGATAATATGCTAGACAGTGATTAAAAGAAAGGATAGCTAATTTAGATGGGATTTATGTAATGTCAATTGTAAACATTATCATCTTTATTAGCATTTTTGTCTTATCACTAAAAAATTTGATGAATCTGAGTGCTAAGATATAGGTCCTAGAAAAACCTTCTAAAACAGATCACAGAGTTATTCAAATCCAGACAGAGGAATTTAATGGAGAACCAATTTCAGTGTTGCATTATAGAATAGAGAGGAACAACCTAAGGTTTTCTTTTTTTTTTTTTTTTACCAGTTCTAGTATCTTGTATTTATTTATTTATTATTTATTTCTTAAAGATTTCTGCCTCCTCCCCACCCCCGCCTCCCATTTCCCTCCCCCTCCCTCAATCAACTCCCCCTCCCTCATCAGCCNAAGTCCAAGGTCCTCCCCCCTCCGTCCATGTCTAGGAAGGTGAACATCCAAACTGGCTAGGCTCCCACCAAGCCGGAACCATTTACAGATTTCTTACAAAGATCGACTTCAGCAGTAAATAGAATGATACTAAATACAGAAGTTAGACAAATAATAACTGAATCTCTGGCTTTTGAAAATGTCAATTTCTATGCAAAAGGATAGATAATTAGGACATTAAAGGCAAGGTCAGCACCTTTGGAGGAATGGATCCGAGATACAATTAATATTGAATCTCATGACCATGATGATATGTGGATAAGAGAAGTGGTTGCCAGAGGTTTGAGGAAAAATCAAAATGTCAAATGTTATAATTGTGGCAAACAAGGTCACCTTAAAAGGGATTACAGATAGGGTGTTCCTAGAAACAATGTTTTTTTTCCTAAGAATAATCCATTCAGAATGCCCCTCCCTTCTGGATTATGCAGGCCAATGAAGAATATTCAAGATAATCCTTTGCCATCGGGAAATGCCATGAGGGGCCTCTCTCAGGCCCCTATGCTAAATCTGGTTCAGTTGTTTCCTGTCATCATAGAGGAAACTTCCTAGAGCAATTAAAGAGCTTAATGCTTATTGTAAAAAAATACACTGCTCTGGATGACTGAACAGCTATAGAAGAGAGGACAAAAAGTTCAAAAGAGACCATAAAGCGAGTATATTGACAAACTTCTATAAATGAACAAAAATCAAAATTAAAAATAAGAATAAGTGATGTTGTCATTAAAGGTCTGGTAGACACAGGTGCAATGCAACAATAATTTTATCAGAATCTTGGTATCCAAATTGGCTTCTTCAGGATGTTCAGTTTTTAGGGATCAGAACTTTATCTCAGATAAAGCAGAGTGTGAGATGGGTCGAAAGTACAGGGCTAAAAGGACAGAGAGGAATATTAAAACCATATGTGACTAACACAGCAATGAATTTGTGGGGACATGATTTGTTACAGCAATGGAATACTCAGATTAACAGTCCCCAGTCATAGAAACAAGCCATAGATTAATGTATAATTCTTGGAAAAATATTACAAGATATTATAAAGAACTATCACTGACCATTCAGGTTGTACAAGAACAGGGCACAACAGCTGCTGATATTTCAAAGGCACCAACATCCCTTTCTTTAAAATTGTTGACAGAAAAACCTGTATGGATTAAAAATGGCCTTTAAAAATAGAGAAACTGCAGGTTTTAGAACAGCTGGAACAGGAGCAACTAGATGCTCAGCATATTGAAGGATCAACCGGCCCTTGGAATTCTCCTGTATATGTTGTTAAAAAGAAATCTGGAAACTGGAGAATGGTAAAGATCTAAGAAATGTTAATAAAGTGATCTGCCAATGGCTCTCTACAGTCTGACATTCCTTTCCCTTTTCTATTGCTTGAAGGATGGATTCTTGTAGTTATTGATTTAAAAGATTGTTTCTTTACTATACCTTTACAAGAAAAGACAGAGAAAAATTTGCCATCACAGTGCCTACTTATAATAATTCTCAGCCTGCTAAAAGATATCAATGGAAGATTTTCCTACAGAGAATGCTAAATAGCCCCATCCTGTGCCAATATTTTTAAGTCAGCCATTGGAAATGATATGTAAGCAATTTCCTGAATCTGTAGTTTACCATTACATGGATGATATTTTGCTATCTGATTCAAATGTAGATACTTTAGAAAGAATGTCTAAAGAAGTAAAGAAAATTTTGTCTTATTGGGGATTATGAGTTGCTCCTAAAAAAATACAAAGAGGATATTTTATTATTTAGACTACAAAACAGGTTTATAAAAAATTAGAACCCAAAAAGTGCAAATTAGGAGAGATAGACTGTAGACTCTTAATGACTTCCAAAGATTTCTAGGAGACATTTACCATCTATGGCTCACTCTTGGGATAAAACTGGATGACCTGATTAATTTAAACAAAACATTAGATGGTGACAAGGGCTTAAATAGTTCCAGGGAATTATCAACTATAGCTGAGAGAGAATTGGCTTTGATTGAAGAGAAATTATAGAAGACACATGTGAATTATGTGGATCTGAATTTTTTTTTGCTTCTGGATTTTTTTATTGATTTTTATTGAGTTCTACATTTTTCTCTACTCCACTTCTG